CGAATGCTAATTCATCGATTGAAACACGATCATCGGACCGAAGATTATGATCACTGAACAATCATAAATCGATCGCGGTAGTCTGGAAACGAGTAATGATAAGTGAGGACTTAAACGCGACTTAGTCTGGAAATAAACCGCGATAATGTGGAAACGGCAATTTTCTGAAACTTTGTCAAAAATTCTTTAGGAGATTGCTTTGAAAAACCGCTGTTCTTTTGCGAGCTCTCTCGAAAAAAGCAATTATGAACTTTCTAAGTGAGAATTGAGCAAAAAAAATTTTCCCGAAGGAAACTTTATTCCAGGAGTTAGCCTCACGCTTATTTGAGATGTCGAACATTTATTTTTTCGGGAATAACTAATCCATCTCACTGCAATTTTGCCGCTAGATAAGCAAAAAGATACATAACACACCGCGAATTCATAAATTTTGAAGCTTTTGGCAACAATTACATTTTGATGATGCAGTATAATTTTACGTATAAAGAACAAAGTGGCTTATGTAATAGTTTCTTATTAAATTCGATTTGGGGGAGAATAAAATTTAAGTGACAGATTAAAATTTTTAATGACAAAGAGGACACGATACTTTGATAACAATTATCATGAATACTTTTTTTTTGCTCTCAAAGTTTTTTGCCGTAAAATCATTTAAAAATCCATTCTCATGGTTAAATGGTCATTCTCATTGTTTATGTAGTCTAATGTTTTTAAAATTCATTAATTCCTATGAAACTCTAGAGAGGGAATATTATGAGACTCATAACTAAGACCTGAAAAAACTTTGACATATGATGAATGAGTTCTTAAAGAATATTGACAGAGCATACAAGGAAAAAAAATCGTTTCAAAACATTGCTTGGCCATTCAAACGAAGTTGGTCAGAGAGTTGCTCGGGTTGCCGAAGAACTGTAAACAGCTCAATGATACAATGATTTACACTGAAAAGTGTTCATTGAAAAACTGAATTTTTTTTCTATTAAAAAGACCTCTAAAGTTTGGTAAGCTCGTACATGAACCAGACTAGCTCAATCAAGGCCTGAATCAAGGCAAGGAAATTTTTTTTGGATGATTTTTTGCAAGATAAAGAACATACACATAGAGCAAAAAAACAGCAAACAGAAAAGAGAATTGGGAACGTTGAAAAACCTGACGTAAATAACCGTGCGGTTTGAGTTTGACCCTTTCTTTTTAGGGGGAGATTCTTGTTTGGTCTATTGAGGGGGGAGCTTGTTAACATGGATCGAAACGGCTTGCTTCAGGCACCGAAACGTTCAAGTCTTC